CTATTTGTTTGACTTGTGTTTGATTTTTTTGCTACTAGCGAATAAAAAGGCAATACGTGCTGCCAAGTAAAAAGCGAGCAAATTTCTTTGTTTTTTTTGTTGTTTGTTGCGAAACTATCTTTGGCGAATATTGTTGAGAGCGTTGCGGGATTGCAATTGTAGCAAACAGGCAGCAGCAGCTGCTGTATTGATAAATTGGAACAAGTGGGAGCCCTGAGGCGAGTAGACGAAGCCCCAACATAGGAAAAGGCGTGCGCACACCAGCAACAACAACAACAAGAATAGCAGAAATAGTAGCAGCAGCAGCAGTAACAACGACAACAACATAAGCTATCACAATACAAACGTAAACTTTTTGCATTGCCTTATGGAGAGTTGAGCACATTTTTTTATTTGTTGTTTTTTCTTCAACAGCTGTTACACTTGGTGAAAATTAGCGGAGGCGAGTGAGCGACCGAACGAGAAGCAGCAATATATGAATAATAGGCGTATAACAAATATACGAAATACAACAACAGCATAAACAACAACAGCAGCAACAACAAATAATATGAATTCAAAAGCTGACGTCAACCGCCGTGTTTTGGCTATTCAAGCGAAGAAGAAGCGACATAGGAATAACAAGAAACGAGGCAAGCAAAATGGAGCAAACGGAGCTCCCGTTCAAGAAAACCAACAGCAACAACAACAACAACAGCATCATCAGCAGCAGCTACAACCAGAACAACAGCAACAAGAACAACAACTATATGAAGAGCCCGAAACTCAAGCACCAGAAAATGCTAATAATAGCCATATAGAGGGCGCCAGCAAGTTTGAACTGCATGTTGGCAACGCTAGCGGCGCTATTGACTCAAAATCTACGGCATCCTTTAGCAATGCCACAGCATCCACATCAAGCGGCGGCTCGGCGAATACGCCCGATGCCCAATCTAAATCGAAATCGCAAAACAATATGCAGTACTCTCAATCGCAATCGCAATCGCAGTCGCAGCAACATCAGCAGCAAGCGCGCAGCTCATCCAACGAATCGGACGAATCGGAATTGGTTAGCGAAAATGAGGAACAGGAACTGAAAGAGGATTACTGCAAGGGTGGCTACCATCCAGTCAATATTGGTGATTTGTTTCAGGGTAAGTATTTCTATGCATTTACCCACTCATTCCCCCGTCACCTGTTAGCACCTCACACCAAATTGCCGCACAAATACCGCTGTAGCAGCAAAACAAAGAAACAAAGCAGTTAGATCGCACGCCATTTTTGGTATACCCTTGCTCACGAGGTCAGTTAACTAAATGGGTTGGTCGATTGACTCATTTCCATTTGTGCGATTGCCAATTCCCACATTTCTTTATGCAGTATTGGACTGGAATTTTCGAGATAATGGCATTGCGGGGCATTGAAAGATAAATGTTAAGAAGAAGCAGCTATCTACCAGTTATCATATCATATTTTATTCTTTTCTTTTATATCTTTGAACTGATATCACATTTCTTTTCCACAGTCTGCACTGTTTTAGCTTCTATTTCTATATATCCTTTAGATAGTCAATGTCGAAGTATGAGATTATATTTTATATCTGAACTATTTCGTAGATATATGGCGAGTGTTCACTTTTTCCAGTGTTTGGTTCCGTTTTCCCCTCTTCCAGTTTCAAATCCTATGAGTCTTCTACATACATATTTATCTTCAAACAGCTAATCTCCTTCTATTTCATAACTATTTCGTAGATCTATATTTTTGTTTGCATCAATCCCACTGTTCCTAACGTCACAAATAGTTCAAAGTTTACCAATCTAACGTTCCTTTTAATATGTTTATAAGTACGCAAGCATTTGTTTGTACTCTTAAATATTTTGTTCTTGTTTCGCGATTTTATAGAATAATAAGCGTAAGGTCTTTAGGTTATCTTTTAATGTCTTTTTTCTGGACATACGTAAAACGTTTGTTTTCTTCAACTGCAACTACGTATACTTAACTATGTGTCACTACGTCAGTAGGCTCCAATGTTTCTAACGTCACAGCGTGTTCAAAGTTCAGTGTTCTAGTTCGCTAATTCCAGCGTTCCCTTCAATTTTACTGTTTTGTTCTGCTGCTCTCACACAGTTCACAGTTGATTGACTTAATTGATATATCGATTTTGTTAGAGTATTTAAGCTTCGTTGCGTGTTCGCCAACAACTTTGTTGCTTATTTAGTTGACATTGTAGCTGTGCGTGTTTTTTTTTTTATTTTGTTGTGTGTTTCACATAAACCCATTTCGTGTTGCATAGAGAATCTGACCCAAAACGCAATCGTTTTTCCTTCTGTTTTGTTTTTAGTACGAGAGAACGGGGGGACAATCGAGCTCAAAAACTGTTTGTGAACATGATTATGTTGTTCTTGTTGTTGTTGCCAACAGGTTGTTAATATGGAACGCCCCCTTTAACACATGCACATATATGTATATATATATATGTACATATTTGTATATATAAACATGCATTGATGTTGTTCGCTCAAGGGTTGCTTATGGGTTTGGGGCACTGTACGAATTTGGCTGGCTTTGCTGCGGTTGCTGCTGGCGACATGGCCGCCACCTTTTGGATATTATCGTTATTGTTGTAGCCACCCAGCTCAAGCTGGCCCACCTATTGTTGGCTCGAGGGGGGGGGGGGGGGGCTTTTGTTATAGCAAATGATGTGCATAAAGTTCATATTTGGGGAGGATTTATAATTTATAATCAAAGAAAATGCCGCTAACCTTTTTGTCCAGCGATAAGGCACATGCCTCTGTCCCATGATAAGAGCCCGCAGACAATGCAAAAAAGAAAAAATAAAATGCTACATGTTTATTAACTAATCAAGACTATATATACATATGTATATATATATATAGTTGCACACACAGAGAGCAGCACACTTTATATCGTATTTATATACTATGCGCACAAAAGCTAATATATGGGAATAAAGCAGCTGACAAATCCGCAACTGAAGAGCTCGGTCAGCCAGCTCAATTTAGTATCCAGTTTAGTTGCTCGCCGAGTCTGCTGCATCATGGATTTGCTGCCATCGAAGGCAAACATTTGTGATTTCATCTTTTTAATTGGTGCACATTGAAATACGACTGTGAGTCCCGAGTGTAATCGCATTTTTGTTTTTGTTGTTTTCTTTTTCAGGTCGCTATCATGTCATTCGCAAATTGGGCTGGGGCCACTTCTCGACTGTTTGGCTCTGCTGGGATTTGCAGGAGAAACGCTATGTGGCCATTAAGATTGTGAAGTCGGCGCAGCATTTCGCTGAAACGGCCAAGGATGAAATCAAGATACTCAGAGCGGTGCGTGAGACGGATCCGACGAATCCGCGTCGCCACAAGACGGTGCAAATGTTCGATGACTTTAAGATCACGGGCGTGAATGGTACGCACATTTGCATGGTCTTCGAGGTGCTGGGCGATAATCTGTTGAAGCTAATACGCAAGTCCAATTATCGTGGCATTCCGTTGGAGAATGTCAAGAGCATAACACGCCAGGTACTGGAGGGTCTGGACTATTTGCATAGGTGCTGCAAGATCATACACACGGACATTAAGCCGGAGAATGTTCTCTTGTGTGTGGATGAGCCGCATGTTCGTTCCCTGGCCGTTGAGGCGACCCAGTTGTATTGCATGAACTCCAAGATGTATCCGTCGTTGGTTAGCCGTGCGCCCAAGGAATATCGCGAGCCGCCCATCACCGGCAAGATGAGCAAGAACAAGAAGAAGAAGCTCAAAAAGAAGGCCAAGAAACGCATGGAGCTGTTCAAGAAGCAGCGCGATTACTTGGAGCAAGCTGGCGGCGATGAGCAACACGAGCAGCCGGAACAGCAGGAGCAGCCAGTGCCAGAGGCTAATGTGCTGAATGGCGATGCAGCCGTCTCTGAAGGGGAGGATGTTGTCGCAGGAATTGAAGATGTAGAGCCAGTGGTGCAGCCAAATAAACCGCAGCTGGATGGCACTGAGAAGGCCAAGAAAAAGAGAAAGAGGAAGAACAAGAGTATGTCTTAAACTCCGTTTATTGGTATAAATTTGATATTCATCTAATCTATGATCTCATCCGACAGATAAATTCAGTCAGCAGCAATCTCAAGCGCAGGATCAGCAACAGCCACTGGAGAACTCCACCAGCAGCGGCGACAGCAGCAGCGTCGCTCTGAAGGGCTCCAATACGAATACGAATACGAACGGCAGCAATAGCAGCCATTCAACCAGCACGCTTAAGGGACAATCAAATGGTGCCGCTGGCGGCAATAAGAAGGCGTCGCGGCCAAAGCAGGAGCTGCAGCAGCCACAGCAGCGCCAGCAGGTCAATAATAACAATACGAATTCGAAGCAAAACTCGAATAGCAATTCGAAAATCTCAAATAACTCCATGGAGGGCTCCTCGTCAACCAACGGGGGGCCATATTCGGAGCCTTTACTGCCGCCACCACCGCCGCCGCCATTGGCCAAGCAACGGGTCAAGCGCGATCCGGCGCTTGAGCCCTGCGATGTGCAGGTGAAAATTGCTGATTTGGGCAATGCGTGCTGGGTGGATCACCATTTCACCGAGGACATACAGACGCGACAATATCGCTCGCTGGAAGTTATTCTCGGCGCTGGCTATGACACCTCGGCGGATATCTGGAGTACCGCCTGCATGGTGTTCGAGTTGGCCACGGGCGATTATCTGTTTGAGCCGCATTCGGGCGATACATATACGCGCGATGAGGATCATATAGCCCATATAATCGAGCTGCTTGGGCCGATACCACGACAAATTGTGTTCCGGGGCACGTATCCGACGTATACGTTCAATCGCAATGGTGAATTGCGGAACATAACGGGCTTGAAACCGTGGGGCCTCATGGATGTGCTGGTGGAGAAATATGAATGGTCGAAACGGGAGGCGGAAGCGTTTACGGCATTTTTAAAGCCGATGCTGGAATTCGATCCGGCCAAGCGTGCCACCGCTGCAGAGTGTCTGCAACATGAGTGGCTTAGATAAGATACGATGCAGCCTGGTTGTTGGCTGCCAGCCAGCCAACCAGCAGGAGCAGCAGTAGCAGTAGCAATAGAAGCATCAAAAGCAGCCGGAGCAGGAGCAGCAGCAACAGCAGCAGACGTTGCATCCTCCGTTTATGTGAAGTCAACAGCATCTGTGGCCACATTGGCCTCCATCTCATCGATTGCTTCCACCTCGGCATCGGCAATGGCAGCGCTTGCACAGGCACGTCCCTATTCGGCCACCACCTCAGCACCGCCCACACCACAGTCACATGCGATCCACCATGCCATGTCTAGTGTGCGTACAGCGCCCGCAACGCCAACACGGACATCGAAGCGCACCGACGATGTGGATGGTGTGCAAGATATTGGATTAACCGTTGCCATCAGTGAGCTGTTGCCACCGGCACCACCACCACCACCAGCAGCCACGATGTCAGCGCCCTATAGCAAACCCAAATCTCAGCGCTTCTTTTGGCGCAAGGCGCTGCGACGCGTCTTCCAGCGCCGCAAGTGACGTCAGCTGCGGCGTCGACGTCAAGATATGCCCTGTTGGCGTCCACGTCGCTGTCGGCGACATCGTACGCTGGCCGAGCGTGTGCGCCGGATATGCGCCTGCTGTGCCTACGGCCAGGTGCTCATACGCAATGCACGTCTCGCGCTGCTCAGTTGCATCCGTTGGCGCACCCGTGGCAACATACGCAACAACAACTTTTACTTTACCAATCATTAAGCAACAACAACAACAACAAGAGGACAAAGACGAAGGCGAAGGCGAAGGCGAAGATGAAGATGATGAAAAAAAGGAATAGCAACTGCAAATGCTCTGCTCTGCACAGGCACACACACATACACATACACACAAGCACACCCCCAATACACACACACACACACATACAGAAAATGTTAATGCGAAATCTGATTTAGTTGTTAAAGCATATGCACCTAATTTATTTCCTTGTGTTTTACACCGATTAGACAATTTTTCCTTTGATACAATTATGAAATTATAAGCATTACATTTCCTAATTTATGCTCTAAAATAACTATTATTATTTTTTTTTCTTATTTTGCTTCCGACTCTGTAAATGGGGCAAAAACTTTTCTGTTCTCTTAATATTTATTTCTGTTTGTTTTAAACGATCTCCAAGTTGTGTTAACTTTTGAAAGCGTGTAATGAACAGCCAATCCCATAGTCCAGACTAATGAATATATGAGTATCGAACAATATATCATATATATCGTGCAGCCAGTTTATAAATAGAAATTTTTTTTCGTAAATGTAAATTTAAAGAGGAGAAATGCATACCTTAGCATATAACTATAGGTTCATATATATATATAACTGATTGGTACACAGACTGCATGTGACCTATTGGCTTTTAATACACCCACACACACACACACACACACAGACAGACATTTACACATGTACATGGTTATGCATATAAGTATTCTTGAGCTGAACATAACAATAATGAGCGTAGTTAATTAGTTTAAACCACAATTTAGTAAACGCCGCCAGGTTTACACAATTCATAGAGCTAAATGCACTACCAAGCGTTAATGGAAAAGAAATCAAGTTAAAATTAAACAATTAAAATTAAAATACAATATAAATATTAGCTGCTATATTGTCTAGTAGATCGATCAGATATGTTCAAGAGAAACCCTGTTAAGAAGGCAGCCAAAATAATGCTAGAAATTAACTAAATATTTGTAATTCGAAATGTAGCAACAGCAACAATACAATTTTGTAGGCACACTCACAAACAAAAAGCAAAAAAAAAAAAGAGAAGAAATTACACTGAAAGAAAAATTATGATAACAATCCTAGAAAGGCCACTTAAGTTAAGGCTAGTTAAGCGGCGCAGTTGACGAATGTTGTACGAATGATTCACATTGATATATATATATATATATATATATATATGTATATATGTATATCAAGTATATATATATATATATACATATGTATTCGGCTATATGCTTGCATACTCGTATTTGTGTGTATGTGTGCATTATACTCTGACTCTATTTACTATTATAAGTGGCCTTATTAATTCGATTCTCTGCACAGCCCCAATACACATGCACCACACAGCACAGCAACAATTAATACACAATAGCAATTGAGATACCCGCAGACACACACACCCACACACACAGACCAGCACACACACATGATGTATGAGTATGTATGAACTAAACTATTCTTAATTGGCAAGAGTTGCGATTAATATCAAGCATAGATATACACAAACCCCAAGGCTAACAAGCTAACCCTTTAGTACCCTACGAACTAAACATAAAAACAAAACAAAACAAAATACAAATGAAAATGAAATTTAAATAACTTAACATAAAAATCATAAAATGAGCACACACATACACTCCCACACACACCCACACTCTTAAATCTTCGGCTGGCCGATGTTATCTATACACATATACTCTCTGAAGTAACTATCAATGGGACTATATATATATATATACACCGGTATATATATATAGTCAATTGGCTTTGTGAAGCTATTCAATGCATAAACATACTTAACTTATAGCTTTACGAGTACCGAATTCTAGCGAAAAGAAAAGTTAACTTGTGCTTAGATGTTTCAAGTATTGTTCCCCCCAATAATTCCAAGCAAACAAAAATATACATACATATATATAAATAAAAAAAAATGATAAACAATCAATTTGAGCAAATTTCACAATATCAAATTTCCTTTCAAAGAGAGAGAGAGAGAGTGTGAGAAGAAAAATGAAGAAGAAATGAAAGAAAACGTATGAATATGATACATAATTTATTGATGTAGTTATAAACAAATAAACAAACAAACAACAAGAAATTACACAAATTGGAAAACGATAAATGTATCTTTTATTGCTGCACTCAGAGAAAAACGAGACGGACGGACGAATGGCATGGGATGGAGCGAGAGGGAGAGGGAGAGAACGTCTTATTCAACGTACAGGACATCAATTTTGCTGCTGCACTTGGCTCCGTCCCCCTCTCCCCACTTCCTGCCCATCTAAGGTTATAGCTGCCGGGGCCAAACACATTGGCATCCATTTATAACCCATTCTGTTGGCGCATTGCATGCAATTACACATTTCGCCCGGAAGCTGGAGAGATGAGATGAAGCTCGGTAGCGAGACGGAATTTATGGCCACATAAAAATCAAAAGCAGCCAAGTTGAAGACATTGCAGTTGCCTTTAAATTCAAAATGACCAAGGGACGGCGTATACACAGACATAGACTGGACAACCACACACACGCACACACACACACACACACACACACAGCCACACTCATATAGACTTATAGCGGATTTGTCTTGGACCACCTTTTGGCATACGCAAGGATATGTGCTTGAAAATAGCTTTGATATATCTCACGTCTGTTTGGCTACGGCTAAACTTGAAATTGAATTTGATGTCTCGTTGCCAAATATAAATGTTCGCTTTCGTCAAATACAAGGGCAGTTCGAGCAGTTGCTCAGAGGTAAATATAGAAGGAATATCTCATTGATTTATAATAATCTATATACAAATTATTTATAGACCTAAAGCTGTTTATTTCATTACATCTCACACACACATGATTGGAAATTTATTCTTCTACACTCATTTACACATTTTTAAAATCATATTTTATACCATTAAATGGATTACTATTAAATCGTCAAATTTCATATAAATGCAGTAAGTACGTATGCTAAGTTTTACCGATTTAATTTGATATAGGGTCAAGAGATTTCAAATGTTTTTGATAAAGCTCAAAGCAAACGATTCGAAGAAGCCTGAGTATATTTGAATTTAATATATTTTTATTGTCTTCTATTATATATAAAAAAAATTTATTATATATATTAATGCTTTCATTTAGTTCTCTAGGGTTCTTTTCTCTAGTAGTTCTCTAGTAACTTTTTGTTAGAAAAAGGGTTCTTCTAAATTTATTAGTCATTATTGGAATGTGTCTTATTTTAATCCAAATTATTATTCTCAAAATTATTTCTCTATATTAAGCAAAACATTTTTGTCAAGGAATTACCAGTCCCATGCTGGTTTACAATAGAAATACTTTAATTCAAAGCCTTAAGCTCCAATTGAGCTTACCATTTGTGTTGTTTCCCAATCTTTCATAACTCGCAAAGCTTCCCTCGCTTGCTGCATAAATTGCCATGAATAAATTTGTTGCTATTGTATGTGTTTTCTTTGAGGCGTTGCTCAGAGATTAATTTGCGGTGGATATTTTTTCCTGTGTAGTTGTGTGCGTCTCTGTGTGTGTGTGAGTGCGAGTGTATTTCGACCTGCTGGCCAGAAACAGGATAAGATCTATGGTATCCGAAAACTCTGAACGGGCATCGAACAAAAGTTAAATAAACGTGTCTGCTTTGTCACTTGAACGGGAAGGCGCAATGTCAATAGAAGCAGCTCCCAGCGGGCTGGGGGAGGAGGCGGGAAAGCCAAGTGGGTTTTCGCCAAGACAAACGCAAAGAAAACGGCGCGTGGCTAACTTGGCCAACAAAATGTCAGGCACTTGAAATCCAAGTTGAAGGAGAAGTTGAAGCATTCGCTTTTGGGCTCTATTCTAAGATTTAATTCCAATCAAGGTCAAGATATTAAGTACTTCGCTCTTTACTCAATAATGCATAAAATATCAGTTAGGGCATTTTCCTGCTTTTGTCTCCGTGTGATTTTTCCACTCGAATTACCTGTAGCTAAGCGAGTTTTTCCATGAAAATTCGTAAGAATTTCATCGGCAGTTAATTCCATTTACATGAAATTTTATGAACTTGTTAATACTTTGAAAGCTTTGCTTTTTTGTTGTTCTGATTGTTTCTTTTTTTTTATTCGAACTGCAAGTCTTTTGTCGCCCGGTCGGGGCCAGTGGGTCATTCGTTTTGATTTGACTAAAAGTTTAGTAACAAATAGGACAGCTTGAAACGTATGCTAACAAGACCCGGATTTGCTTATAAATGTCTAACAAATGACGAACAAAAAAAATCGAAGAAACTTGAAATGCAAAAGCATCAACAATAATAACAACAACAGCATTGACAACAAAAGGACCAAGTTTTGCATGCTTGACTGGCAGTTGGGAGACCAAAAAATAGAAACAGGATTGCGCTGAGTTGCTCGGTCAGTGGATACCCTGTAAGCTGCTTTGAGCTACTTATGGTATTTGCCAAATTGATTTGGTAATTGATATTTATTGATTGCTGGTTGAAAATTTGATGCATTCGAAGTGTGAATACCCTGTAATTAGGTCTGAGAAGGCGTTTTCAAATGGGAGTTTGGAAATAGTTTAAGGACAATCGTTACAGACATCGAATGCTTAAAAATACTTGAATCGGGCAAGTTTGCTCTATTTGACGTATGAATACCCTGTAATCAGTTGTGGAAAGCTACTTACACTCGCATTTAATCGAGAGCTCAAAGACAAACTAATTAGCTGTCTATAGATATTTATTGAGTTCGGCTAAAAGCTATGTAGCCATGTTCTATATGACTCATGAATACCCTGTAAACAGTTTTGGTATACGCATTAAACATAGAATAAAGTATGTTTCTGAAGCAAAGGAAAAGAAAGATAGAATATATATAAACCGTGCCTTTCGTATAAAACTAAATTTCAATGCAGCTGCAGCTATCATAAATGCTCTAATCTATACCTTATAGAACTACAGGGTGTGCACGCATTATAAAAGTTTCGAACGCTAGGGAAAACCCTAAGAAATTGTATAGCGTGTGCGTGTGTGTAAGTGTCCAGCATCTGCGGGTTGATCAATATTTGCCACATTCATGCATTGTATTGTGTGTGCGTCGCCCGCACACCGAACAAACATACAATCAAACTTTTAAAAGGTCCTTTTAAATGCGTCCAAGCGCAAACGATTATTCAATTTAACAGTCTGAGCTGCAGAGCACCCGCCCTCCCCCCCTCCCTCTTCCAATGGGCTAGGATCATTGCTGTTAGTCCGTTAGACCGCCTGCCCACCAATCAGACCCGGCAAGCCCTTCAACGCTGTGCACTTTAAAGCGACGTCCTTGTCGTTTCAGCGACATTGTCCTTGTCGCTGCTCAAAATGCCAGCGAGTGGCACTGATGACATTAAGTAGCTGTCGGGTTGGTCAGGATTAGATAGCAAAAGTGCCTTATGTTAGTTTAAAGTAGATAAACAAAGCGGATTCAGCCTCCGTCTCCGCTTACAGCTCGACATCGTAGTCTTTGTCTCTCTCTCTCTCTCTCTCTCTCTCTCTCGGAGCGTTTTTGTGTTTGTGCGTCTATTTGTAGCATTTGTCAACCGCACATCCTTTTAGCAAGGGACATGCTTCTGCTGGAATGAGGATTTAATCATTCAACGCGAATCTATACGCTTCACCTTACACAAAGTTCGCAACACTTTTTCAGACTTAATGCACAAGTTTATCAAAGTTGTGAAAGTTCTGCGTGGACTTGGACTCATTAAAAGCACATTGAAATTTCAAATTAATTACGGATTGCCTTTGATTGCTGCACACGAAAGACGTAAGATGAAGAAAAAAAAAAGTGAATAAGTAAATAAAAAAGAAACTCAAAGAATTTATAACACTTTCCACTTTTTGCTACTTGGGCATTCCGGCCTTTGACCTTTTACCCCCTTTGCGGAGTTTCACAAACTTTTTTATCGCACTCAAAGTTGACATTGCTCTAATTGGTCTTGTCCAGTCGCGAGTTATATAAATTGAATAATTTTGAATAACTTAAAGTCAACTAAACTTGATGTGGGATCTTAGAGCTTAATGCTTATATTTTGCTTAGATTGATTTGAGCTGAAGGTGAATGAATGTGAATAGATATTGGCTTTACTAGGTAATGTAAATCTGCTTGGAAACAAATATCTATAAATGGCAATAGAATGACTGAATTAGTCTTAAGACTTTGACCTAGACTAAGACACTCAAAAGTACTGCAGTTGGCAGTATACGACTAAGACATACCCACAATATATATGCGAAAATGAAGGAGTCGTATGAAAATATGCAAAAGTTCTCGCTACTTGAATGTATTCAATTATATTAATGTCTTAAGTCTTCAAAATAATTCAGTTTTTAGAAATCACATATAGCCAAAAGGTAGTCGAAGATTGAAGGGTATGTAAAAGCTTCAATGAATATGATTTTAGACAGGCATGATAATTAGATCATCTAATCTAAATCGTTTGACAACTACTTATGAATGACTACGATTGCTTTAATAATGCTTATGATGATGATCTGAAGAGATCATAAAAATCGGCCCATTCTTGGTACCTTCTCTTTAATTACAGGGTAAGCAACTGACTTTCATAATGGTAATGATGATAATGATAAAAATACTCTGAAGAATTATTCTACTCAATTTATGGGTATCTAATAATCAACTTTTATTACCCTAATTAGGATTATAGAGTGATGTTCATAACGATCTATAAAATATTCATACTTGCTTTAAATTACAGGGTATTCGAGAGTCGAATTCATAGCTATTCGTTTAATTTTAGCATACAAATTGGTTAAAATGCTTTTAGGCACTGCTTTAATTAAAGAGAGTGTGCTCGTGTCTGTGTGTGTACCTGTCTGTGTATATATATATGTGTGTGTGTGTGTGTGGTCTTTTGTAGCTGGCACACAAAATTAGCTAAAATAATTTTTGGAGTTTCTTTTTGTAACGTCCACTGAATTATTTTGTGCACACGCCAAACAATAGAAGCAAAAAGCCGAAATGAAATTTAATGTTGAAAACATTGCGTATACGTAACAAAATAACAATTATACATATATACTCATACATATACATATATGAAAGTGTACATTAAGCTGGGTGTACGTGGGGCAGCATTATTTTAGGATGCCCATTAAAAAAAGTGTTGGGTAAAAGTGCAATCACATGAATTTGCTGGCACCACAACCACAAGGCACTGCTAGCTAGGCTACCTGGCAACCACTTGTGGGCTAACTCTGGGCCATTCGGAGTCAGCTGGGCTCACTCCGAAACGCGGGCCACCGTGAAGAGAGCGAGAGGCAAGCGAAGCGAAGCAAAGAGCGCAAGCATTGGATGCGCTCTTAAGCGCTCGCAAGTGTTTTCATAGCTAAAAATTAGGCTGAAAGTTGTTGCCACTTTTGGTTTGTTTTTAATGCCTGTCCTCCACGACATGTGGCAGGGGCAAGGTTGCCAAGCAAAGTAAACTGAAGTAAAGCAAAACAAAACAAACAACTTTTGAGTTTGCTGCAAAGGGAACTTTACAGGCCGGGCACCCACTTTAAATGTAAGGAGTAGGCAAAAGTTTTTTGGCGCTCGTCTTTGTTGTTGTGCCCGTTGTTGTTGTTGTTGTTGTTGCAGCTGCTTAACACGCTCAGCCGAGTAAATATTAAATAAGAAAAACCAACTTAATTAAAATGTATATGCCATGTTCTATATTCCTCTGGCGCTGTTGTTGTTGTTGTTGTTGTTGTTGTTGTTGTTGTTGCTCCTTCTATTGTCCCAGAGAGCTAAACAGCGGCAATGTTCGTTTGCTGCGTCTGTCTATCCGTCTGCCTGTCTGATATTTTTCCCAAGCGTCTTCTAATAAACTGGAAACTTAAATAAACCCCATTGGCTGGAATTGTGCGCAATGAAATGCCATATAAATTCCATTTGGCCAAAGACTAAGGCGTCCAAAAGGTATTCGAGCAATGCAATACGAAATATGAGCCAAACTGTGCCACATTCGTATGTATGCTTTAGCAATATTTCTTACGTATTTTCCCTCTGCTTTATTTTATTTGTTTGATTCTTGTTTTTGCTTGCAAATCCCTTGAGGAAATGGCGTCATCATAAATATTTTCAAGGCGTGTGTGCAATAATTGTAGCCGCATCCAATAAAAGCGAATCGAGTCGAGCTCGGTGCCCAATAAAATTTACACAAAATTCAATTTTCCGCAAGTAAGAGCCATATAAATGTCCAGCGAACAATTGATTCGATTTATGCCAACAGAAAAATAGCGCAAAAAATAATAAAAAAAATAATAAATAAAATAATAATAATAAAAGTGTCAAAGTACTCAAAAGTGACAACGGAAATAAAGCTCAATGCAGTCAGTTGAAGTGGCTGCCATTGACACAATTGAATGGCTCTTGGCTTTAATTTGCAGCCAGTAAGCAAAACGCCCCAGAAGGACCCCAAAGACCAAAAAGTAAAACCGAAAATTCAATATTTACACTTGAGGAGCAAACCACAAAAAAGAGGCCACGCGATGCCAACTCCAAAAAGCCAAGCCGAGCCATGCCACATGGTCCTAAACAAATAAAATGGTCACACACACAGAATGTGAAAGGCACAAGCCAACAAGTAACTGTGGATACCCTGTAAAAAAAAAAGAATAAATAAATAAGTTTAGCCAGTGCTTTGGCATAGAGTTGGGACGATTTTGGTTGCTAAAGAAACTTTGAAAACTTTAAATGAAAATATTAGTGTAAAGCGCTGTTGGTCTGAGAATGAAGGTATACGATCCAAAACAGTGTATATATATTTAGATATTAGCATCTATTGCTTCATTTTATTTATTTTAAATAATTTTTAACATTTATTTTTATATATTTTTACTTTATTTCTATGCATATAATTTTTTTTTAATATTTGTAATAATAATAATCATTATTAACTATTATTATATAAATTTTTATTTAATATTTCTAACAATAATTCTTATATTTATATACATTTATTCATATACATTTTTAAATATAACTATGATTTTACTTATTTTAAAAATTACATACATATTTTAAAAATTTTTACATATTACGTAAATATTTTAATATAAATCTAAAAACAATTAAATATAAAAAAACATATTAATATTACAAAAATATTTTAATAATAATATTTTAAATAATATAATATAAAATAATAATACATTAAATTAAAAAAAAAATAATAATAATAATAAACATAAAAAATGTATTTTAATTCAATATATAATAAATAACAAACCAATTATAATATATTTTTAATGTAATATTATACCTATATATATATTTTTAAATGTAAAAGCCTTATCCACATATATACACGGTATTTTGTAGTTTAGCTAAAGCAAATATGAAGCCCTTTTTTAAGTGAGTTCTTAAAGTAATCGCCCTCAGTCACACAATCCGCACCCGGAAATGGGAAATTGCCTTTTAATTGCATGAAGTTTTCCAAGTATCTGTGTGTGTGTGTTTGTGTGTAGCTCTCTCACACACACACAGGCATATACAGTAACTAATGTTATGTGTGCAGTCGTACAATATTTACAGTTTACAGTGACGCTCACAACATGCGCCCACACACACACTCACACACGCACACATTCACACATGCAGGAAGGGAGCGCACTTGGCACTTTCATGTCCTTGATTGCTGGATGCTTCTGCATTTGGCTACGTGCGTCTGCCCACATTGCCTAATCCCCGAGTGACCTTCAACTGGTAGTTGAATATGTATATATCTCTCTCTCTCCCTCTCTTTCTCTCTCTCTCCATATATATATTTCCATATGAGTATATATGTATGTTGTTCCGTCCAACGGTTCAATGCGGTCGCCGTCTATGCGTCTGTCCTATGCGAGTGGGTTTCTGTGTATTTGACAGCCAGCTGCCAGTTGAGCTGTCTCCCCTGCCCCCCCTCACCGCTCTCTACCTGATGGCCTGCCCCAGTGTCTGTCTGTCTGTCTGTCTGTCTGTCTGTCTGCCTGCCTGTCTGTTTGACTGTTTGCATTTGACATTTTCAATTTGCATGACATTGCTCTCTGGACGTGAATCGTCGTTCCATACACTCGACATCATTATGCTCCCAGTGCGTCCAGTTTAGATGGTCACGTAGCATCAATGTTCTATATATGCCTATGACTTTTATCCTTTTTGCCTGCACATTTCGACTGCACTTCACGTCGCATTATTAATCGCTGTCCGGCCCTCTAATTACTGCTACAATTCTCTCTCACTCTATCTCGATTTAGGTTGTTGATGGCGTTTTACCTAATTAAGCTAATCAAACAAAATGTCTTTCCAAATATCCGACAGCAGAAGTTGGGCACTTTGAAGCACGCAAACTAAATTCGAGTTTTACGGCTGACTGGGTTTCTTTAAACTTTCTGAGGGATAAGCTAATTAAGGCGTTTTGGCGATGGGCGTGCTTAAAATTTAGTCAGAGCGATAGGACACGAGCAGGCAATGCGATAGCTATATCTATATCTCTATATCTCTATATATCTATATATCTATATATCTATATATCTATATATCTATATATCTATAT